GGGGCAGCGGGGGGCCGCGAGCCGCTCCCCTAGGCGTCGCGACGAGGCAGCGGGGGCCGCGCGCGGCTCCCCAGGGCGTCGCGACGAGGTTGCGGGGGCCGCGCGCGGCTCCCCAGGGCGCCACGACGGGGCAGCGGGGGCGACGCGCAGGCCTGCGGGGCAACGTGACGGGCTCCCGGGGGGCGACGCGACCATCGACGAGGGGCGACGCGCGGGTCGACGGGGCAGAAAATCGCCGCGCGCTCACGCCGCGCGCCCAGAGCGCGCGGCAGGCGGAAAACATCGCACGCCCAGGAGGCAGGACAGCAGCGGAAGCATCGGATGGGACCACCCACAGGATCGACCCAGGAGGGTCGACCTGCTCTGAAAGCATGTCGAAAGACTAGGCAGGAATTAGAAACAGGAAAGAGGGGTTTCACTAGCAGGCAGTTGAGTACAAATAGCAAACCCTAATCTGGGCTGTACTCGCTATAGAGTACCCCACTGCAGGCTAGACAAACATCACATTCTGACACAACCGTCGAGTGTAGTCAACGGCCGTGACCCTTGACCAGCCAGTAACCGCACGATAGTTGTTTGCTAAAACATGGTAACTGTCGAGAATGGCAATAGTCGTGGTTACTGTAGTTATGCAATACAGTTAATAAGGGAATGTACCTCTGAGAGTACATGGCTAGCAAGGCCTGTGCTAGGATTTAGGGCACCCTGAGCCCTCAGGGTAACTCTTGAATTTTTTCCAAAATGCCCTGATTTTCCAGGGCAAAATTCCCTGGCCATCCTGAAATTTCAGGGCACCAGCAAAAATTCATCTGGATGATTTAGGGCAAAACATACAAGGCACTGGATAGTATGGAGGGGAAGGCACAAAAGGAGCAGGTTGTTCACTGGTTTCACTTCTACTGAATGAGCAAAAACATTGGTGGGGGAGGGGTGTCAGAATATTATGCTCTAGCCTGCAGTGGGGTGCTCTGTAGCGAGTACAACCCTTCTAGGGTTTGCTATTTGTATCCCCATTCTTGCTAGTGCAACCCCTCTCTTTCGCCTAAACTCTCTTGCCTAGCTAGGACTCTCCTAGCTATGGCTCCTAAGACTACCGCTTATCTTGACAAGGGGTGGGGACAAAACTAGCACACACACCCCCCAGCCTCCTCCTTCCCCTCTCCCCCTCTCCCCCCTCCACCCGTTCTCCCCTTCCCACGAGTCAGAGCATCCCTGTACATTCATCCTAACGCTTCAGGGCAAAATTTCACTGCCATTCTGAAATTTAAAGGCAAAACACATGGATCATCCTGACGTTACATGGTAAATTTCAGCGTCATTCTGAAATTCCAGGGCAAACTTAAAACACCATCCTGAAATCTGTTAAGAACTAAGGCAAGGATGAATGAATTAGGTGAAGGCTAGGGTACAAGACTAGGGTGTCGAGAAAGTTTGTGTACCCCCTAGTGCTAACCCCCATACAGCCTAGACAACCTAAACAAATTATTTATATATAATTTGACACACCCCCATAGGCGAAATGGGGGATAGCCAGAGCAAGCAACGGTCACAAGACCAGTCAAGAGACAAAACACAGCTCAGGGTGGATCACAACGTCACCACACACACTGAGCACAAGCAAACGGCCACAGGGCCAGTCCACATGCAGAGGTATATAAGCAACAAGAACAGTACAGTGATCTCTAGCTAGCAAGAGCCAACATGCAGGTATATATATAGATCACAGTACAAACAAAGGCTACAGCAAGTGTGGAAACGTCGGCACAAGGCCCAACAAAGTACAAAAGCGCTGATGATCACCAGACGGAAGTGCCTTGGTGAATATATCAGCAGTGTTGGCCCGAGTGTCCACGTGACGGAGACGAAGCTGGCCTCGCTGCTGCAACTCTCGAGCCAGGAAGTAACGCAGAGCAATGTGCTTCGTTCTGTGCTCCAGTCTGTGCTCCTCACACAAGGCAATGGCAGCCTTGTTGTCGACGTACAACACTGGAGGAGAACGACGCTACTCTCCCAGGTCGGTCAGCAGGTAGGTGAGCCAGCGCAACTCCTGTGCAGCCATGGCTGTGGCGTAGATCTCAGCCTCACAACTAGAGCTGAGAACTGAAGACGAGCGAGTAGAACGCCAAGAAACTGAACCAGAGCCAAGGCTGAAGGTGTAACCCTGTGACGACCGCTGCGTAGCCTGGTCGTCAACCCAAGAAGCGTCTGAGTGCCCAGTGAGAACAACTGGGCTCTTCCCACCAAGCACTAGCCCCATGCCTGATGTACTGCACAAGTAGCGCAGTACCCTCTTAGCAGCAGCCATGTGCTCAGGTCGGTGCCGACCAGGAGCCACGTAACGAGCCAGAAGGCCAAGAGGGTACGCGAGGTCAGGACGAGTGCAGGTCATCAAGTACATGAGGCAGCCAACTAGCTCTGGGTAAGGACCACTCGGCTCTACGGACTCGTCCGAAGGTGGAGCTGAGAGCGAGTGACCTGTCGCTAGAGGAGTGGTCTGTACTGAGGACCAGGTGAAGCCGAAGCGCTGAAGGACCTGCTGCACCATATGTGACTGAGTCAGTGTGATGGTGCGGCGTGCTCTGTCCCGGGTGATCTGCAAGCCAAGGTAACTGCGCAGCTCACCCAGGTCTGTGCACGTGTGTCTCTTCTGCAGCTCCGACTTCACCAGGGCAAGAGCCTCAGTGTCAGCAGTAGCAAAGACCAAGTCGTCGACGTACACGAGGATGTAGAACGGCGGCAGCGAGGTGTCAGTGCGCAGAAACAGCGACGGGTCCGCGGTCGACGGAGCAAACCCAAGAGCCGCAAGTGTCGTCCTCAGTGTGTCGTGCCACTCACGTGGCGCCTGGCGGAGACCGTAGACTGGCCGCCGGAGGCTCCACTGGGTACCAGGAGGGAACGACCCAGTGAAGCCAGGTGGGCGGCGCAGCCAGATCTCCTCGTGCAGGCTGCCCTGCAGGAAAGCTGTGCTGAAGTCCAGAGAGTGAAGCTCGTAGTCACGCTGAGCGGCAACGTGCAGCAGTACCCGAAGAGTGGTCATCTTCGGGGTAGGGGAGAAGGTCTGGAAGAAGTCGACTCCCTCTCGCTGACTGAAGCCTCGAGCAACGTAACGCGCCTTGAAGACAGGCGGAGAACCTGGCGGCCGCTTCACCCTGAAAATCCACATGCCACTGACGATGTTCGCCCCAGGAGGGGGAACATCGTCGACGTAGGTGCCTGTGGACTTCCAGGATGCCATCTCTGCGTCCATGGCTGTCTGCCACTGAGAGGAGTACTCACCCGCGATCGCCTCAGCGTAAGAGCGCGGGGTCGGGATGTCTGGTGCATCCGGGTCTCCCTCAGGGGCAAGCAGCATGGCCACGAGATGGGGCGCAGCGGCTGCAAGACACTCAAGGTCCTCCTGCCTGTCCTCAAGGACGTCCGTGCCAAGAGCACACTCACCCCCGACGGACGGAGGACAGACAGACTCAGACTCAGCAACAAGACAGCCATGGACGACGTGCCGCGAAGGGGCCGTGAAGGGCCGCGAAGGGGCCGCAGGCCAGCGCGCGGCGCTACAGCAGCGGCGCGCGCAAAAAACCGTGGCGCGCGCGCTGAAAACTGTTATTGCTGCGTATATATCTCTGCATGTGAACTGGCCTTGTGGCCCTTTGCTTGTGCTCAGAATGCGTGGTGACGTTGTGATCCACCCTGAGCTTGTTTTGCTTCTCTTGACTGGTCGTGTGACCCCTTGTTCTCCCCCACTTTGCCTATGGGGGTGTGTCAAACTGTATGTGCTGCATATTGTCTAGGCTGTAGTGGGGTAGCCCATATGGGGTACAACCAAATTAGGGTTTACTACTTGTACTCCTGCATCCTGCTAGTTCACACCATTCCTGCTGCTAGATTCTAACACCTAGAGACCTCCTACTCTAGTTACCATGTTAAGAACTAAGGCAAGGATGAATGAATTAGGTGAAGGCTAGGGTACAAGACTAGGGTGTCGAGAAAGTTTGTGTACCCCCTAGTGCTAACCCCCATACAGCCTAGACAACCTAAACAAATTATATTTATATAATTTGACAAAATCAAGGTAATCAGGATGTTTTGCCCTGATATCGTGGGCCCTGATGGCTAGCTAGTTTGCTATTTAATCTCTTGTACTCCTATCTTTTAATTATCTTGTTCTCTTTCAACTATTGTCCAACAGGGCCCAAAATAGGTTTAGGTCCACTCTTTCAAATCAGGGTTCCAGGCCCCCAGTACCCTGACTGTAAGGGTAAAATATTTCGTACCTTGCCAAAAACAGCCTAAACAAACCTGTACACTGATTTTAAAAGGTTGAAAAGTTTTAGTCTACAATGAGGCTTTTTAGTGGTACAACTCAGCAGGATTTGTGTCAGGTTGTCAGATCTTAGTCTGGGTTGAGGAAGGTAGTGAGTTCAAATCTTGCTGATGCACTAAATTTTTTTGCAAGGAAAACCCTCGCTACAGAGGACTCGGTATCAGTGAAGTATACAGGGCACCTTGATATCGGCAGGGGAAATCGTTATCAGTGTAATTCAAAACTTAGCCTGTTTGCTCTAGGGTAATAAATTTGATACCCTGTTTTTGCAAGGGTAACTGGGAAAAAGCGGCCTACCATCAGGGCAAACAGGGTATTTTACCCTTGAAATTAGGGCCCTGTTGTCCAACAAGGTCACTACAGAGGCTTTATTGTCTCCTAAACTTGGCAGTCTTATCCTATTCACTTGATCCTTCGGTTATATCAGCAAACGCTCACAATGAACCCTAAATTTCAGAGTTCCCTCGAAAACAGCTCTGAAAATCCGAGTAGTGAAAATCAAAAAAAAACCCCTGGATAAGACACATACGTCTTATATCCGGGCGATGACGGTTGCTCTTGTACCCCCACCTCCCCCCCTCCTTTCCCTAGTCCACCATCATTCTCCTTACCTACCTGAGTTGGTTTTTGAAACATGAAGCTTCCATACCGTATTTGATGTCAAAATGAAGGTCCTCTCTCACACCACATTGTCCACATCGCTGACATCAGGAATTGCAACATCGAGCCTAAAGTACCTCCGCCATTTATCAGGAACAGGCGCCCCGGCCTGCACACAGAGCTCCACCAGCGCCGGCACGTGGCCGTAGAAGGCCCTCAGCTCGTGCAGCAGCGGGGGGCCGCACGGGTGGCGCGCGTGGTAAACAGGCACGGGGGGGAGCAGGTCTGCCAGCACTGCCGGCTGCCACCCGTGCTGGCCGTGGCGCCACTGCTGCTTGGAGGCGTTGCACAGACGCACCTGGGAGCAGGGAGGGTGGAGAGACGAGGGATGTGTCAGATATGGCATTCTGGCCATTCGTGAGCTCAAGAGGGGGTTTGAGAGGAAGGGGAGCAGAGCTGCCTGTTGGCCTTGCTGCTGCTGGTGGCAGTGCTTGCTGAGGTGCTGCTGGTGGCAGTGCTTGCTGAGGTGCTGCTGGTGGCAGTGCTTGCTGAGGTGCTGCTGGTGGCAGTGCTTGCTGAGGTGCTGCTGGTGGCAGTGCTTGCTGAGGTGCTGCTGGTGGCAGTGCTTGCTGAGGTGCTGCTGGTGGCAGTGCTTGCTGAGGTGCTGCTGGTGGCAGTGCTTGCTGAGGTGCTGCTGGTGGCAGTGCTTGCTGAGCTGCACGGAACCATGCAGCACAGCACCTGAAGATGCAACAGTGCACCTGAAGTTGAATAACACCGCACGCTTAGAGCACCTGAAACTACAACAGAGAACCTGATACAACAGATCACCTGAATAACAGTACAGGGCAGCTCGAGGTGAGCATGGGAGTAGCGTGCAAGCAGGGTGGTGAGTGAGCTCCCATGCACCACAGGTGAGATCGACACCCACCACCCAGCCTCACGCCCGCCCGTGCTCCCCCATGGTCCCCCATAGCCCCCCATAGCCCACCATTCCCCTCCCATGCCCCTCCACGTCTCCTCATGCTCCCCCATGCTCTCACCTTGTGCCCCGCAGCACCCACGTGCACCTCAGGGCAGTACCCACACACCAGCACAGGGTACTTGCCCATCAGCCCCTCCACGCCTTCTCTCAGCTCCTCCCACTCCCTCAACGCCTCCTCTGCCACCTCCCTTAGACTCCCCTCCCCTTCCGCTGCTCCTTCCCCATCCTCTCCTCCCTCTTCCTCCTCCTCCTCCCCCTTCCCTATCTCCTTCCAATCCGCCTCTGTATTGCTCCTCTGCTCCAACCTTCTCTCCATCCCGCCCCCATCACCCTCCTCCATCACCCCCCTCCACCCCCCCTCCCCCCGCCTCATCTGACCCCTGGACCCCTCATCCCACGCCACCTGCGCCCCCACGGCGTCCATCTCAGCCATATCCAGAATCGCCTTCACCACATCCCCCTCGTCCGCCTTATAAGCTCCCCTGGTAGACACTCCTGCCTTTGATTCGCTCTCCAAGCCTGCCACCCAGGCCCGGCCGGTGCCAGGCCTGGTGGTTTGCACAGGTTCGGTTCGGCGCACGGTGCGCAGGCCTGGCAGGTCCACACCCGCCTTGGGAGAGGGGAAGTGGAAGTGAGAAGTGGAGCAGAGGGGGTGGGTGGTGGGGAAGACAGGGGATGGGTCAGGGATGGATGGTGTGCAGAGGGTGTGCAAGACAGAACATGGGTGGTGTGGTGGACAGAGACGATCAACCACGGGTTGAGCGCACAGCACGTGGACTTGTGGGTAGGGTGTGTGTCTCGTTTGTTCATGCATGCAAGAGGCTCTACAGAGAGCAGCGAGTGGGGAAGGCGGCGGCATGCATGCAAGGGATGGTGGTGTGCGAATGTGCGAAGAAAGGGGCCCATGCCGCCGGGAGACCCACCCTCGCCCAGCCTGCAGGGGGGCGGGAGGGGTGGGATGACTTACAAGTCACCTCAAAGCTCACCTGAACTTGATGAATGGCCTGAACATGAAGAATCACCTGAACCTGAAAATGGGTGAACCTGGAGAATCACCTGAACGCACAGCTCAATGACAGCTGGGATCCTCTCCACATCAAATCTCGCCTCGTGTGGCACACGGGGGCGCAGACGATCGGGCAGATGAAAACTTTCGATGACCGGGAGGATGTCAGAGGGCGTGGCAGGCGCCCATTCATGGCTGCCCGGGCTGCCCGAACGGCTGTGCAGCTTCGGACCCTTGCAGTTGCGGATGGCGTGGGGGTGGCGGGCAATGGAGACCTCTGGACACCGCCTGGGGGAATGGGAAGGGGGAGAGATGGGAGAGAGGGCAAGGGGGCTTAGGTACGCGTTCAGAGGTGGAGGGACTTGTTCAGACCGCGCATGTGCGGATGGCGTGGGGGTGGCGGGCAATGGAGACCTCCGGACACCGCCTGGGGGAATGGGGGAGGCGGAGGAGAATCAAGAGCGACGGCAACGGGCTTAGGTGACTAGAGGGGTTAAGTTTGGTCTGAGATAGAGGGGATTCTGAAGGTTGCGAATGGCGTGGGGTTGGTCGGCAATGGAAATCTGTAGACAGCACCTGGGGGATGGGGAAGGGCGAGAGACAAGCACGAGGGCAAGGGGGCTCGACTGGGTGAAGGATTTGGAAGCAGAGGGGCCTCTGAAGGCGTGGCACTATGCACATGGTGCATGGGCGATGGCAACTGCGACCTCTGAACACAGCCTGGAGGGATGGGGAAGATGGAGGACGGGGGCAAGGGGCCCCATGTGGGGGGCATGAGCAAATTTTCGAACGCCTGTTCGGTTCGACTCGAACGTGTTCGAGTCGAACCGAACAGGCATTTTTTTTTTGCCAAAAATGTTCGACCGAACATGTTCGAGTTCGTCTCGAACATGTTCGGGTTCGCAAGCATATTTTTACCGCGCCGCCTCGAACTCGAACAGGTTCGAGTTCGAATTTTACTTACGCAAACATCAAAGTGTTCGCGATTAAAACCAGCGCGACATTGGCCGCACTGGTTTCAGATTTAGGGTTGCGTAGATCTGAGATTGAGCACATTTCGAGTTCAATCACTTGCCTTTAGTTAAGACATGGTTTAGGCACCTGGTTTACGCAAACATCAGCCAAAATCGAGTACATTGCAGGGTTATTAGGCATTTCCGCCATGAAATGCCCGTAATTTTCAGATCTATAATAGTGTAAACGCGGGGTACCGTTATCGGTGGTCCGGTGAGACTTTTGCCCGTGGCGACAAGGCTGTCGCCCACGTACGTTAACCCGCCATCATTTCAAGAGAATAACCTTGTTTAGAAACGAGATCTAAAGGGTATGGAAGGGACTGGTGGTACCGGTTCAGGATGGGGAAACGACGGACAGCCAGGGCCGTCAGGGTTGGGCGTTGGTGGCGTTGGGCCCATGAACTAATACAGTAGCTAGAGAGATACATGACATGATAGGTTGTGGTCTGGTCTGCATGTGGCGTGATTCCCAGCTTGTGTGTGTCAAGTCCTGATGCCTGAACCCGCCTTTGTTTTTCCTGGCAAGGAAAGTGGCAAACAAAGGCAGACTATGTCATTATGGTGGGAAATTCATGGGCGAACTCGAACAGGTTCGAGTTCGCCACGAACACTTAGATGTTCCAGGCGAACATCTAAATGTTCGCCTCTAGATTCAAACACTCAAACACCACTTTCCTTTCAAAATGTTCGAGCGAACCGAACATGTTCGGTTCAAAATTTCAAGGTGTTTGAGAAGGTTCGATGCAAACGTGTTCGGATTCGTGCGATGCTCATGCCTTGTGGGGGTGGCGGGCGTGGGGTTGGAGGAAAAGGGGCGGTTAGAGTGGGGGCGCTTGCAACGGCCCTTGCCATGGTTAGAGTGGGGATGGAAACATGTGGGCATTGCCAGGGGGATGGCAACATGCGCGCATTGCCAGGGGGGATGGGCGAGAGGCTGGACATGGAGGGGAGAGAGCAGCGAGCAGCCGCAGCGCCAGTTTAGGGTGAGCGAGTACGAGCGCTTGATGCGAGTAGCAGCAGCAGCAGCAGCAGCAGCAGTGGCGGCGGCGGAGGCGGGGGGTAGATGGTAGTGGTGGTGGTGGTAAGGGCAAGAAAAAGGTGAGGGCGTTAAGGCGAGGGGTAGCTGACCCAGCAGAGAGGAGTGGTGGGGAGAGAAAGGGGAGAGAGGTGGGAAAGAGGGAGCAGCAGCAGCAGCAGCAGCGGCGGCGGCAGCAGCAGAAGCAGCAGCAGCAGAAGCAGCAGCAGCAGCAGCAGCAGCAGCAGCAGCAGCAGCAGCAGCAGCAGCAGCAGCAGCAGCAGCAGCAGCAGCAGCAGCAGCAGCAGCAGCAGCAGCAGCAGCAGCAGCAGCAGCAGCAGCAGCAGCAGCAGCAGCAGAAGCAGCAGAAGCAGCAGCAGCAGCAGCAGAAGCAGCAGCAGCAGCAGCAGCAGCAGCAGCAGCAGCAGCAGCAGCAGCAGCAGCAGCAACAGCAGCAGCAGCAGCAGCAGCAGCAGCAGCAGCAGCAGCAGCAGCAGCAGCAGCAGCAGCAGCAGCAGCAGCAGCAGCAGCAGCAGCAGCAGCAGCAGCAGCAACAGCAGAAGCAGCAGCAGCAGCAGCAGCAGCAGCAGCAGCAGCAGCAGCAGCAGCAGCAGCAGCAGCAGCAGCAGCAGCAGCAGCAGCAGCAGCAGCAGCAGCAGCAGCAGCAGCAGCAGCAGCAGCAGCAGCAGCAACAGCAGCAGCAGCAGCAGCAGCAGCAGCAGGGGCAGCAGCAGCAGCAGCAGCAGCAGCAGAAGCAGAAGCAGCAGCAGAAGCAGAAGCAGCAGCAGCAGCAGCAGCAGCAGCAGCAGCAGCAGCAGCAGCAGCAGCAGCAGCAGCAGCAGCAGCAGCAGCAGCAGCAGCAGCAGCAGCAGCAGCAGCAGCAGCAGCACGAGGCACTGCCTCCAGCAGCCTTGGGATCCTGGCGCTGAACAAGGCGGTGAAGAAACCTCTACCTACACCGACCCTACCGGCACGCATGAGCGGGCACGGCGTCAAGCATGCGTGGGAGCTTCGCCTGCAGGGACAGCCAGAGCGCGAGAGTGCGGTGTGCCACGGGCACCAGGCGCGGGACCAGCAGCCCGCTGTGGGGCGCGCCAAGGGAGGCCGGCGGAAGCCCCTTCTCTGCCAGCTTCCGCCTGCGCGCCGCGTCCCCCTTCATCCTCTCCACAGCCTGCCCAAACCTCCGCCTCTTCTGCAATGGCGTCTCCCCCAGCGCCCCCTCCGCCTCCGCTTCCGCCTCCGCGTTCCCCTCGTCGTCCGCCCATCTCCGCCCCACGCGCACGCGCAGGGCTTCCGCTTTAGACCCCCCAATGCGCACCCACCCTTGCGCCTCCCCCTGCGCGTCTCGCCTGTCGCGCCCGCGCTCATTCCGCGATCCCTCTGCTAACTCCTCTGTTCCCCTCACCTCCCGACTTTCCCCTCCCTGCAATCCGGCCCCCCTTGGTCCGCGCTTTTCCCCACCCCCTTGCTGCGCGGTCCTCGGTGCGTGGCTTCCGCCCGCTCCGCTTTCCGCTGATACCGCGCCGCGTTTAACCCTCCTGCTAGTGACTGTGATGCTTCCAATAGGAGGAAATGGATTCTCGCCGCCAGAATTTCGGAGAGAGCAAGCAGGGGGGAATCTGGCGGAGCTACGCGCAGGGCTGCATGTAGAGGTCAGTCGAGGCGCCAAGGATTGGTTGGATACACGTGTAAAGCGGGCGAGAAAAGAGAGGCTAGAGGAAACGAGTTGCACACACGACATTACTTGTCCTCGCTATAAGGACGGAGGATAAAAACGTGGTCTGAGCTGACTGTCCAGCAAACCAGGCGTAGGCGACTTAGGGAACATGCGCGCAGAAAAATTGCAATCCGGCGAAAACTGGGCGACGGGGACTTAGCCGATTTTAGGACTCAAAACCTACCTAGTAATAGGTCATTTACGGGGTGGAACGGGGAGTTAGTCTAGGAGTGGCAGTTTACTGGCGCGAATGTCGCGAAAGTGGGAGAAAGTCGCGGTTTTGTGGGACCTCGGTAAGCTGGAGGAAGGGGGAAGTTGGGGGTGTGTTGTTTCTGGCGGAAATTGACCAAAAGGGCAAGTTTTCTGGGCGGACGCACCCTGACGAGCGACGCAGCGGTTCGAGGGCTGGGGAGCTGGGGGAAAACGGCTGTTTACAGCGGACTGTGCCCTCCACCTCTCGAACCCACTTCCGCCGCTGAGTCGACCACGTCAGCTGCTCGTTTGTAAAATTTCGTTAAGAACGACGTAAATCCAAAATCTTACAGTTGTATAGTTGGACTATCACTTTGTATTTTAGGTTTGGTGTATATGGATCACATTTGTTGTAGTTTCAAATACACCATCCATTTTGAATTCATATATTAAGTTTTCGAAACTCTATTACTCTTATAATTCTTTAATCATCATCTTTTAACTATTTTCTTGATAAACAGCGCTAGAATGAATGGATAATTTTTGTTGTGGTTTAGAGTAATTTTGACTTGGTGCTGAGTTACCGTTCTGTTAGTTTCCAGTATGAATTTCCAACACCTTTAGTTTGTAATGCACTGCTGTGATATGGTCTGTTTTTTAATACTGCTAGTGTGCTGTAGATATTTGATGTGCTGTGTTTGTCTGTGTTTCCAGTACCGTATGCATTGGCGAGTCGGTGACAATTGTGACCCCGCCACCCACGCTCTTCCCATGGCGCGATATACTCGCGCTTCGACATGGTGTCAGTCCGCTTGGTGGCAACGCGTTCCCCACTAAAAGGCCCACCTGTTACAGTATTTGTTACTTGAATTCACACTCACTGAATTCGACTAATATAAGGTCATCAACTGCTCGGTCGTCTTCCCACGCACCGTCCTGACTACCGTACGTCTCCTTGCTTGAGCAGATGTCTCCTTGCCGCCGATACCCTGTGAGGTTATTTTTCTTTAAATTTAGGTGAGTTCCCGTCTAGATTACTTCTGTAGGTGCTTGTATCTGCCGTGCATGTGGCCTAATGTGCATTTCTTATTCCGCTCGTTAACTCAAGCTGTCGATATCAGAAATGCAGGTAAGGCGCGTGCGCGATGCAGGTAAGGCGCGTGCGCGCTGCAGGTAAGGCGCGTGCGCGATGCAGGTAAGGCGCGTGCGCGCTGTAGGTAAGGCGCGTGCGCGCTGCGGGTAAGGCGCGTGCGCTCTGTAGGTATGGCTCAAGCGATCCCTTCAAGCTGCGTGTCTCCGTTCACTCCCCGCGTTTTGTTACGCGCTGCGGTTAGCCGGGTGCGATCCTTGCACCGTTGCGAGCCAGATTGTTGCGGATTCGCCTCGGCGCTCCCCGCCCTCGTTTTCTTGTGCGCGCCGTAGGTTCGGCGCGTGAAAACAGCCCGCCGTCGCTCCCCTTTCCCCGCGGATTCGCCCCTGGGTTCCCCACCCTCCTGCTCCCGTGGACGCCGCAGGTAAGGCGTATTGCACTCGTGCTACAATTCCGCTCCCTCTCATGCTCCCATTCCGCTCCCTCTCATGCTCCCATTCCGCTCCCTCTCATGCTCCCATTCCGCTCCCTCTCATGCTCCCATTCCGCTCCCTCTCATGCTCCCATTCCGCTCCCTCTCATGCTCCCATTCCGCTCCCTCTCATGCTCCCATTCCGCTCCCTCTCATGCTCCCATTCCGCTCCCTCTCATGCTCCCATTCCGCTCCCTCTCATGCTCCCATTCCGCTCCCTCTCATGCTCCCATTCCGCTCCCTCTCATGTTCCCATTCCGCTCCCTCTCATGTTCCCATTCCGCTCCCTCTCATGCTCCCATTCCGCTCCCTCTCATGCTCCCGTTCCTCTCTCCCTCGTGCTCCCATTCCGCTCTCCCTCGTGCTCGCATTCCACTCCCTTCCGCCCAACCTGTTGACTGTCATGGGTTCGCATTCGCACGGCGTGGCTGTGCAGAGCCTCGTGCTCGCTGCACTGGCTGCTCTCATGCTCTCAGGTGTGCCCTCGTGCTCTTGAATCTGCTATCAGGTTTTACCTCCTCCTCCCGTTCCCCCTTCCCCCCTCTTCCCCACATACCCGTTTCCCCATTCACCTCCTCCCCTTAAGCCTCCTTCCCTTCTCATCCCATTCTCCTTCCGTTCTTCCCCTCTCTCCCCCCCCCTTTCCCCCACCCCGACTTCCCCCACCCCTCTTCCCTCTCTTCTCTAACCATGTGCGCCCAGGACTGCTGCCATACGCCTGCCACCTGCAAGCACCGTCGCCGACCGTAAGTCAGCCAGCCGCCTGGCGGGCCTCTCTCACCTCTCTTTGCTCTAGACCCACCCTTGCCAGTCTGCTTGCACTTGTCCTTGCTCCAGTCTTGTCTTAAGACAACTTAGGTTGCCATGCGAGTCCCGCCTCTCTTTGCTTTCCATTCCAAATGTGCATGCTCAGACTCACCTCGCTTTTCGTCTCCTTTTTCCTCTCCTCATCCTTTCCTCTGGTCTCTGTTCCTCTCTGTTCTCGTGTGTGCAGAGGAACTGTGGCACCAATGCGGTGTTGAAGGACAGGGGAGACGCCAGCTGCGTCTGCAGCGTTGAATTCTCCATGATCCCCACCGGCTGTGTTGGTGAGTTAGTGCTACTGCTGGTGAGTGTGCTCGCCACCATAGCCTCTTAGACCTTCATGGCTTCAAATTGAGGCTTCCTTCACATGTTGTCATTCATTTCCCATCAGTCACTGATCTCCCTCCCCCGCTTATGTGCATGTAATATCTCCCTGCTTCGTACCTTCACGCACATGTCATGTCGCTTGGCTTGTCCTCCCCTCCCCACCCAGCTCTATGCCTTCTACCCTTCCCTTCCTTGGCAGACACTTGCGTGGGAATAACTCCAAGTGCGTGACGAGCGCTGCAGGAGTGGTGCCCTGCGTGCGTGACACTGGCTTCGTGCTGCAGCCTGATGGCGTCACATGCACCGTTATGTGCTATGCCATATGCCATGTCCTCTGCCATGCAGGCGATGCCTTGTCCCATGCTATGCCATGTGCCATCCTTGTTAGTGCAATGTGCCATGCCTGGTGCTACGTAATGTGCCATGCCTGGTGCTATGTAATGTGCCATGCCTGGTGCTATGTAATGTGCCATGCCTGGTGCTATGTAATGTGCCATGCCATGTTGCACACCTTGTGCTCTATTCCTTGCTGCCTGTCCCTCTCTCACCTTGATATGCCATGTGTAATGCCATGTGCCTAATGCTTTCCAAGTGCCAGGAGCCTGGTCCGAGAGTGTCGAGGCTTGGAAATCTGAGCAGCCCTTTCCCATATCTACCCATTCTCAGTCTTCTCTCATTCGCTCAATCCCCGTTGCAAGCCCAACTCCCTACCCTCTGGTCTCATGCGAGCTCAAGGTGTGTGGCGTCAACGGCAAGTGCGTCAAGGACAGCTTTAGAGTGGCATTCCGCTCTCTCCCATACTCCCATTCGCTCTCTCCCATACTCCCATTCGCTCTCTCCCATACTCCCATTCGCTCTCTCCCATACTCCCATTCGCTCTCTCCCATACTCCCATTCCGCTCTCTCCCATACTCCCATTCGCTCTCTCCCATACTCCCATTCCGCTCTCTCCCATACTCCCATTCGCTCTCTCCCATACTCCCATTCCGCTCTCTCCCATACTCCCATTCCGCTCTCTCCCATACTCCCATTCGCTCTCTCCCATACTCCCATTCGCTCTCTCCCATACTCCCATTCCGCTCTCTCCCATACTCCCATTCCGCTCTCTCCCATACTCCTATTCGCTCTCTCCCATACTCCCATTCGCTCTCTCCCATACTCCCATTCCGCTCTCTCCCATACTCCCATTCCGCTCTCTCCCATACTCCCATTCCGCTCTCTCCCATGCTCCCATACCACTCTCTCTCGTGCTCCCATTCCCTTCCCAGCCAGAGTTCTTCCCCGTGACCAATGGCTCTCGCTTTGACTGGCTTGTTGGGGACCTGCGCTTTCGGAATTTGCTATTGGGATCGCCGCACCCTACTAGGCATCGCGCTGCATTTTGGTGAGTTCCCGCTCCCTCCTTTCGGCTTCCCGGAATTGTTACCATTACACCAACACCCTTCCTACTGTGTCTCTCTCTCCTCTCGTCCTCCTCGCTCCCTCTCCCTCTCGTCCCCCTCCCTCCCTCTCCCTCTCGTCCCCCTCCCTCCCTCTCCCTCTCGTCCCCCTCCCTCCCTCTCCCTCTCGCCCCCCTCCCTCCTTTCTGCCCCCATGAATTGCTCTCATTCCGCTCGCCCCTTTCCCCCGTTCGCTCCACTCTGACCTCCGTAGTCGCGCCGTGGTCTTCCATTGCTCTAAGTCTGCTCACACCCTTGCTTCTCCTCCGCTCTTTCCCTTGCTCTCGTCCCTGGAGCTCTTTGGAATTGCCCCCATTCTGCTCTCTACCTTGTTGCCGTACTCCTGTCTCACACTAAGCCGTATCGCTCCCTCCCTTGCTCAGACTCCTCTCCCATCCCACGAAGGTCCCCTTCCGCTCTTTTCCTTGCTGCTTGTCCCGCAAGCTCTCCTAATCAGTACTCCCTCTCTCTCTTGTGCATCTCACTCTACATGTGTCTTCACTACCAGAATACGGTTTCTAGACGCTTGGCCAGCAGAGCAACGGCGGCTGTTTGTGTAGTGTGGTACAACTGCGGTTGCTTCTGGGAACCTCTGTTACTAGTATTGTTTCTGGACAAATCCTGTGTTGTGGGTAATGCGGTATCCTTATTTGTCCCTCCTACCCTTCTCTGTGAACTCCTCTCCATTTATGTCCCCCTCATTCATCACTTTCTCTGTCCCCTACTCTCCTTATACCAACCCTCCTCTCCTTCAATGCCACCTTGTTCCTTCTGTTGGAATGTGGTGCTCTTTGAAGCCTCGGTTTGTGTGGAGCACAGTTACGATCACCGGCGGGGAGGAAAACATGGAAGGACATGCGAACGAAGATATATGTTGCTGTTTAATTGTGCGTGTTTCAGTTTTTTTCTTTACCCCTACTTGTCATAATTGTTTTACAAAATACTCATTGAGCTCGTTCGCGCGGAGGAAATTGCCCTGCCAACAAATACTAAACAACCTAGCAGACAAATTAAACCAGTCGTTTTGTGCATCGTGTTCTTCCTTATCGCCACATAAGCGCCAGCTAAGCAGACGGAACCCAAACTTCACCACCTTGGGCTTCCCTTCCTCCCATGCCTTGCCCCACCTTTGAACTGAACCCAAGCCTTCGAGCACATGTAAAATGAGGAATGAAGTTGCAATCCTCGTAAACCTGTGAGAAGCTCTTCTCTCCCGCTATAGTTTCCTGTTACTGGGCCTGCTCCTTTCCTCGCTAGCTGCCGTTAGTTTCTACAGATGCCTTTCGCCGCGTAACTGTGAGTTAAACAAAGTTCCCAAGTATTTTGTTCATGATGTGTTTTTTCTATGGTTTTAGCTGTTCCTACAACATCGTACTTCCCTGCTTTCTTCATAAGGTTTAATTTCCATCATTCACCATTGGCCATTATCATAAGAATTGGCTCTCTTAAATTTTTTTCCCGCACTAGCTTCTCAGTGTTGGTCCGTCATTTCGTCGAACGGCTATGGCTGTCTTCTTGTATTCTCTGTTTCGTCAGATTGCCCAGTATTGCGCCTGTCGTGCTTCTCCCCATTCAAGGCTAACACTAACCTCGTGTCGTCTTGTAATGTTCACACCTCTGCAGGGTACATGAACAAACTGGAGGGTGCATTGGTGTCCGGCAGGGCACATTCGCGTATTGCAGACTTGTATATATTTACTAACACTTGTTTTTCTGAACTAACATTCTGTCTTCTGACATGCAGGTTCAATTGTGTTGTTGAGTTGTACTGTTGAGAAACGGCAAGTATTCCCATAAAGTTAATGTTGGAAGATTTCCGCATGCAGCCAAGGTTTTCCAGCTCAGCATTCGAGGGTATTCCAGTGTACTGGGTGGAATGTAGTTTAGTATTTGTGTAATGACAGTGGATTTATGATCCCTGTTTTTCGTTTGTTGCTGTAATGTCAACGATTTTCAGTACAAATTTATGAATGCGCATAATAAAATTCCATTTCACCGACCTTTTTCCAGAAATCGAAAAAATATACCAAACCAAATTGTATTTGCTAGCTTCTACAATTTACAATTTTTTTTTGGCAAATGTGAATTGAGGTGTACGTTGCGGTAACAAAGTAACCTCGTTACTTCGTGAACGAAATTGACTTGTAACTGTTACCAGGCGCATTTGCGAAAAATGGCCACCCCCTGCGCACGGGCCAACATCATAGACATGCAAATTAGTCTGGTAACCCTATTCGATGGTATGCAAAACCGTCGATACCCCAGTTCTGCTGCGCAAAATTGTCTGGTAGCGCCACTCAAAACACTGTGTAACAGCTGACGCAGCACAGAAAAGGAAGAAAATATGGGATTGAATCAGTTGCGTTTTCGATTTCGTATCGTCGTGGTTCTTACCGCGTCTTGTTCGGCGCCTAACAAATATTCCTGCCGGCTACTATTTTCCGCTAAATGTGACGAAAAATCCACTGGAATGAAAGGCTACGGGGTCCATTTCGATAACATTAATTTGGACCAATATATTGCTACCGGGAAATGTAGGGGCAGGGCAGAAAAACAATAAAACCCCTAGGGACCTGGACGCATTTCTGGGAGGGATCAACCCTAAACACGGGAAAGGACATTGTTTTTAGGGTTGATGCCTCCCTGACGCATCCCTTTCCGATCGGGTTTTATTTTTTTCTTGGCCCGAAGAAATCACGTCTTAGCGCGAAGGCAAGCGCGGTAAAGATCAAATTTGAATTAAAAACGAACGTGCTTTCAGGGCAGCATGTCAATAACTTGCAAACAGAGGTAAGACGGTTTTGCATACCATTGGATAGGGTTACCACACTAATTTGCATGTCTATGATGTTGGCCCCCCTGCGCACTCACAAACTCGCCATAAACTGCCGCACATGACAGTCCTTGGGAGGCACTTGGCCAAATCTAGGGAGCTCGGGAAGTGGTCGAACTCCAAGCACTCCAAAAACTGCCTCGTTCTGTGCTGCCCTAAACTGGCTACTTTGGAGGTATGAGACAGATCCTGGCCGGAAACCTGATGGCACTATAGCAAAAAAAGCGGTAGAAAACTGTGGTGCACGAGGTGCTCGGAAAAGGGGAAATTTGGCCAATATGCCACTCCATTTACGGGGCGCATGGAAACCCACCGATTTCGCCTGACAACTCCCGCAGATTCACCCAAATACTGCCGGAAATTTCCCGCACAATTTTCTCGCTATACGCACGGAGGATAAAAACGTGGTCTGAGCTGACTGTCCAGCAAACCAGGCGTAGGCGACTTAGGGAACATGCGCGCCTAATGAGGTGGTGCTATCAGACAATGACCACGCCCTGCATTCGCTCCAAAGCTTCGGACGAAATTGCGCGATCTGACTGAACGCGAAATTGTCTCAATACCGTCGACCACGTTGCAACCACGCGTTTATCCTCATCTCGTGTATTGAACGCGTTAATGTCACTGCGGCAATTTCATCTGGTGGGTCGCCTAGAGCTCTGTGCAATAAGGACACGAGGCGCTACTACGGCGGGCGCGCTGCAGGGTGACCGAGGAGGTGGACTCGCTGACTGGACCGTTGCATGGCATCACTCGCGATGTCGCTGCCTTGTGCGCTGCTGTACTACAGCCTAGTAGCCTGTCCTAACTGGCAATTTTCCTCCTACTAAGGCGTCTCACTGGCTAGCGCGTTGCAAGGCGTCTTCAACTTCGATTGCATCCCTAAGCGCGTTGTAGAGCGTACCACGTGGCGATTTCACTCCTAAGCGCACTGGAAACGGCCTAAGCGTGTAATTCGATCCTAAGCACGCTGCAAGCGTCCTAAGTGACGATCTCGCTCATAAGAGCGCTGCAGGCCATCCAATGTGCCGATCTCGCTAGCTGGCGCGCTGCAAGCGCCCTCAGCGACGATCTCGCTCCTAAGCGCGCCGCAGGGAGTCCAAAGCGGTGATTTCGTTGGTTGGTGCGCTGCAGGTCGTCCTAGGCTGCGATGTCGCCGGCTGGCTCGCTGCGAGCGTTCCACGTGGCAAATTTGGTGACGCGCGGTGTAAAGGTAATTTCGCTCCTAAACTCGTTGCAAGGCGTCCTAAGCGTAGTTCTCGCTGGCTGGCTTATTGCAGGTCGTCCCAGGCAGCAATCTTCGGTGGCTGTTATGGCTGACATCGTACACACTATTATTGGTTATTACATGAATCTTCTCTTATGAGTTGTAAAAGAGAGTGCGCAGATAAACGAATAACGAGGCAGTGACTGAAATCAACTGAGAATACAATGAATGCACAGACTATTGTAGGATTAGCCTAGCTAGGAGGAAACCTCGGACGAGCGAGGTTGGGTGCAGGTTTGGCGATGGGAATGCCGAAGGCGACGCGAGGAGCCTCGGCAGCGTGGAAATCGCCCGAACGTGCGAACTCCGAAAATCGGGTTGTACGCGAAGCAGTCAACCCCGATAAGGAATTCGGGAAAATTCCTTACACCACCCCCCCCCCCCCCCCCTTAAAACCCAGGGTCCACAGGTTTCAAAGGTAGGAAGGATGGTTGGACTTTGTGACAAAACCAAAGGTAGGAAGGTTGGTTGGGCTGTGTAACCCAACCAAAGGTAGGAAGGATGAGGCAACTTCGGGAAACTTGAGACCCCGGTTTTAAGAAAGGCGGTCAATATCCGAAACACGCTTGCGCGCCAAATAATCACCAACAAGTGGCGAGGCGTCGAGCGAGGCGGATGGCACCCACGTGTCGTCCTCACTGGTGCGATCAGTCCAGCGGATTAAGAAATCCACGTGTCGGCCAGCTGCGTCAAGCCGAACCCGATGTGCCAGAATCTTCGAAGGTTCGAGGGTCGGCTCCGGGACAGGTCGAGCTGTCGGGGCAGCTTGCTGACGTGCGATGTCGGTCGTGGCTGGCACGAACTTGCGAAGCAGGCTGACGTGGAAGGCGTCATGAATTCGCCAGTCGTCCGGTAGCAACAGCTTCGCGGTGACAGGTGTCACCATCTTGATAATCTTGAACGGTCCGCAAAATCGGGGCCGTAGCTTCGATGGACCGGGCAGGTGCAGGTTCTTCGTGTCGAGGAGCACTAATTGCCCAGTAGTCAAGACGAGTTCCCGGCGTAGGAGGTCGGTGTATTTGCGGGAAGTGATATTCGCCTTGCGAATTGCGTCTGCAGCTTTCCCGCGGATGTTTTGAAGTTCCGTCACAAAAATTTGTGACCT